CTTTCTTTCTTTCTTTCTTTCTTTCTTTCTTTCTTTCTTTCTTTCTTTCTTTCGTTTCTTTATTTTTAATTCAATATATCATAACTAAAAGGATTTTGAGCACAAAAGAATACCTTAATACACAGGAACCATGAATACCAAAAACAGTCACTCCATGCAACAGACATCATGCCAGAAAGTTATTGAGGAGTGGGGAGACACAAACGGTCACCTCTAATTAGAAAAAGAAAGCATAAAGAGAGACACTAGACAACGATGTCTCATTTTTACAGATGATATGGAGCTTAAGCATAGGGGAAAATATGATGGAGGAAACTTGTCGTAGACTGATGGTGGAATTTTTTTTGGCAGAGCACCTGGTTCTGGATTATTAGCACTTCTGATTGGACTTGCAATTGCGATGATCCAAAATATTGCTATATTTTGTGTGTTTCAAATGTGTGATAAAAAGTATGTGTGTGTATATATATATATAAATATATATGCTTTCCTTCCCTAATAAGAATTACCTTTTGTGTCTCCCTACTTCTCAATAAATCTCTGGCTTGGAGTCTCTTGCATGGTGTGATTGTTTTTGATGGTAGAGCAAGGGCTTGAGGTCTGGTGCTATGCAACACAGATACATCTCAATAGAGAAGTGGCTCTTCCTGACAGACAGAAGCATATTTCACAGATTTCTGAGGAAGGATAAAAATGAACTGTTCTCTCTGCCAGCAATCCATAGTCTTTCTTGAGATGAGCCAAAACTGTAAGTTTTGAACCTTATTAGTGGGCCTACCCATTTTTAGATTTCTTTCCTTTAGATCCAATAAAAACTAAATTCATTATTAAATAGATTCATATTATCATTAGTAGGATTGTCATGCTAGAAGTCCACAGCATAATATTTTTTAATAAATATTTTATATGTCCCAACATTCTTACTTTATATTTTGCCAGTTTTAGCTTAACTTTAAATAATTGTGTCAAAAATCATCAAGATATAAAATGAGAGTATACATGTCTGATATATATTTGATTTATAAAAATAAAGACAGCTCAAACTCTGATCTCAGAGTAGATCATTCAGTCTCTCCTCAGTCATGATGTTCTAGATATCATTATTTCCCTACCTCAGAAGCATAATATGTCATGTTTATGGTTTTCAGCAACACCAGAATCCATTAAGCAACAATAAATATATAAATTATGTTGGCTTTCATTTGCTAGAAAATGTTAATTTTCCCTTACAACATGGTCATTGTTGTTCACAGGTCCCTGTTACTTCAATTTTATTTAATGATTATTAATACTAAATCTCTGGTTCAGCATTTTAAATAGTTAGAATATTGAGATCAGTTTGTTAGCTATTGAAAATGCCACAAGTCACAATGGCGATCCCCAGATACTGAGACAAAGTAATAGTCAAGTGAGGCATGAAACTGAATCTTGCTGCAATGGTTGGTGGAGAGCAAGTAGAAAAACTGGTTTTGAGCATAATTGACTTTGGAAGCCCATGGGATAGTCAGCAGTTCTCTGCATTTTGATCCCTTGGTTCTCATTCTGGATGGTTCAATGACAGGTCAATGTGTACAATGCTACTTTCACTGTCACTATTATATGGGGTTCAAGCAATCATGTATTCTTTACCCTCTTGATGTGTTTAGAACATTATAGGCCTGCATCTTCTATGGTAATTAATCATTTTTATTAGTATATAAAGTGATGGATTTATCGTGATTTCTTCACACATTAGTGAGATTATACTTTAATCACTGGTGTATTTTTAACACTGTTATATGCAATGTGACTCAGTGATATTTCAACGACTTTTTAATTGCTTACATAAGTTATTTACCTTCCTGTGCCATATGGTTTCTGTAGGATTTTCAGTGTGTATATACAAAAAGAATTTCTTGAGTTTCCTTTGCATGAATTTTATCACTCACATTGAATTTTTAATTGCAATGCTTTCTTTTTTCTTTTTTAGGATTTCATATTATTTCTTGTTGTGATTCACCTAAGAAATTGCCATTTAGGCCAGGTGAT